CCTCAGAGAATACATGCTGGCTAACTTACAGTATCAATGTCTTCTGTTCCCATTCCATTCATGACCACAAGAAAGAGCTCTAAACAGAGCACCAAACCCAAAATGCTATTTTTTTCCCAAAGTACTAAAATTCGGGTTTAAAAATCAAGTCACCTGTAGAGTTTTGCTTTATATCAACTGTAAGAAGAAGAAATTCCTGAGAGTAAACAGTGCCCTATAGTGAGAATCACAGCCTGGGTCCCCACCACCTGCCCCTCCAAAGTCCATCTGGCTTAAGACAGAATGGGTAGGCCAGGTGCAGGGGCTCACACATGTAATCCCAGCACTTTGAGAGGCCAAGGTGGGCAGATCGCCTGAGGTCAGGAGTTCAAGACCAGCCTGGCCAACATAGTAAAACCCCTTGTCTACTAAAAATACAAAAATCAGCTGGGCATGGTGGCACATGCCTGTAATCCCAGCTATTCGGGAGGCTGAGGCAGGAGAATCACTTGAACCTGGGAAGCAGAGGTTGCAGTGAGCCAAGATCATGCCACTGCACTCTNAAAAAAAAAAAAAAAAAAAAAAAAGAAAAAAGACAGAATGGGTCTACGTCCACGGGTTTTCCAGCTTAGTTTCATTTCATTTTTGCACTAGCAGCAGGCAGTTGAGAAAGCCAAGATGATCAGGATGCTGGTTTACAAAAGCCTCAGGATCCTGAAAAGGGGAGGAGAGAGAGAATAGCATTTCTAATTTTTCCCAGGGTTGGGGCGGCCCTTTCTATGCATAGAAAGTTGGATTGCCTGAACGACCTATAATTTCACCTTCTCTTCTAACGTGTCTTTTTTCCAGCTTTATAGTCCATCTCATTCTCAAAATTCATTTGAGACTTTGGGAGGTTGAGGCAAGAGGATCACTTGAGCTCAGGGGTTTGAGATCATTTTGGGCAACATGGTAAAATCCCATCTCTATTTTTTATTTACAATATTTTTAAAAGTTTATTTTAAAAAAAGTCATTTTCTTGGGGTGATCAGCCAGAAAAAAGAAAAGTCATTCGAGGTGACCACCATTGTTTCCTCAGGCCTACATCTACATATATTAGGAGCAATTAGCCCAATGCTTGCTATACAGCAGGTATACAATAAATGAAAGCTGTTCTCACCAGAAGATCCAGAGAATGGCAAAGTTCTAAGGGAACGTTCAGGAAAAAAAGAAGGCAAGAGAAGAACTAAGGGTTTCTGGGGACTATCTTTTTTTTTGAGATGGAGTCTCACTTTGTTGCCCAGGCTGGAGTGCAGGGGTGCAATCTGGCTTACTGCAACCTCTTCCTCCCAGGTTCAAGTGATTCTCCTGACTCAGTTTTCCAAGTAGCTGGGATTACAGGCACCTGCCACCACATCTGGCTAATTTTTGTGTTTTTAGTAGAAACGGGTTTTGCCATGTTTGCCAGGCTGGTGTCCAATTCCTGACCTCAGGTGATCCGCCTGCCTTGGCCTCTCAAAGTGCTGGGATTACAGGGGGCCATCGCGCCTGGCCCCTGGGTTTCTGGGAACTTATCTGATAGGGAATCTAGCAAGGGACAGTGGCAATGGAGAACTCTGAAATTTCTTGAATGTTTGCATTCTTCTGCACAGTCTTACTTTACTTAGATCTGCAGTTCACTCTTCAAAATAAAAAAGGCCCAAATATTATTTAGGGGATCCCATTTTGGAAAAAAGGGAAAGAAACTAAAGGACAGGGAAAAATTGCTTGGGAGAGAACAGCTGCAATATTTAGGGGCCAACAGGAGTGAACACAGGGATGTGAGAACAGGAGAAACCTGGATGCCTCCTTTTGAGGAGTTCGCAGCCTTCAGACCTGAGCAGGCTGTCCCTTGCTCCCTCCCTCCTGCTCACAGAGGTTTGGCCCACAGCGCAATCATTACAAACCACACCAGTTCTGAGAATGCTCTGCTCAAACTCTAGGTAGTCCCATGACCCCTACCTCGTGTAACCTGACCCAGACACCCAGTTACCAGGATGTATAAAGGACACCTGATTCTTTCCGTGACAGTGTGGTTACCCTAAACCTCTTAAGACGTGACTACAAAGAGAATCCCAGTCTCTGGCTTCAGTCCATATGAGAACAAGTAAAGCCACCTGAATCTGGGTCAGAAAGAAAAGTCGCCCTTCTGGAGCACGTGGAGAATTACTGCTTGTCTGACAGTCTGTATCCACAGGGCAGTAGTTCTCAAGCCTGGCTTGGGCAGCACAGTCACCTGGAGAGCTATAAAAAAAACAGATGCTTCAAGCCATCCCAGACCTACTAAATACCTCAGGAGTGGGGCCTAGGAATATGTACAGTAGTTTCTAAAAGCACTATAGGTCAAGCTAGGTGTGGCGGTACACACCTGCAATCCCAGCTACTCAGGAGGCCGAGGCGGGAGGATCCCTTGAGCCCAGGAGCTCAAGACCAGCCTGGGCAACATGGCAGGATCTCATCTCTAAATAAATAAATAAATAAATAAATAAATAAAAGCTGTCTTGATAATCCATGTTGGCAAATTAAAAAACAAATAAATAAAAGCACTACAGATGGTGTGCTATGAAGCCAGAGTTGAATATAATGCTTTGTGGAAGTATCTTTTTTTTTTTGAGAGGAAGTCTTGTTCTGTCATCCAGGCTGGAGTTCAATGGCATGATCTTGGCTCACTGCAACCTCTGCCTCCTGGTTCAAGCAATTCTCCTGTCTCAGCCTCCTGAGTAGCTGGGACTATAGGCGTGTACCACCATGTCCGGTTAATTTTTGTATTTTTAGTAGAGACAGGGTTTCGCCATGATTTGCCCACATAGGCCTCCCACAGTGCTGGGATTACAGGTGTGAGCCACCACGCCCGGCTGGAAGTATCTTGTTTTGAGCTAGAGGGAAATTACTGAAGTTCCACAGAAGGAAATAATAGAAGCTGTCTTTTTTTTTTTTTTCCTAAGTGGCACCTGCAAACAGACCAGGCTGTTCCAGCTTTCTCTGGCTCTCAGAGGAGGGAATCAGTTAGGAGGCAACTGCAGTCAGCTGCTGAACTTTCCCAGCCCTCCCTCATCATCACAGTAGAACTTAATAAAAGGTGCACTTTTCTCTGACATTTAGATTTAGATTGAACTACCATTTTAGAAGCACCTGTTTTGTGTCAGGTCCTGCAGCAAACGCAAACTACAAGACCGTGGGAGAGGCACTACATGGTTCTCACGTGGGGTACCTTCCTGGAAATGGAGGAGTGTTCATCAGAGCTGTACCAGTTCCTTACAATACAGTCCTCAGTGAGATTCTTCCCTGACACAATGCTTTATTACCTACAATCAACACACAACTTGGAGTTTACTGACTGATGTGTCTTCTCGACATTCTTTTCAATTTCTGTAATGCTGGATGTGGCTGGGCTGACTGCATGACCTTGAATTTATCTGAGGCTTATCCTCACCACCTGTCAAAACATCTAGACTGAATTTTTTTTTTTGAGATAGAGTCTTGCTCTGTAGCCCAGGCTAGAGTGCAGTGGCGTGATCTCGGCTCACTGCAACCTCCGTGTTCCGGATTCAAGTGATTCTCCTGCCTCAGAGTCCTGAGTAGCTAGAATTACAGGCGCCCACCACCAGGCTGGCTAATTTTTTTTTGTATTTTTAGTAGAGACACGGTTTTCCAACATTGGCCAGGCTGGTCTAGAACTCGTGACCTGAGGTTATCCACCCGCCTCGGCCTCCCAAAGTGCTGGGATTACAGGCATGAGCCACTGTGCCCAGCCGTAGACTGAATTTTAACCATTAAAGTAATACTACATTTGCTTACCCTTTGGAAAATAATCAAACTAGTTGCTGGGAATCACAGAGTTAAAAAGATGGTACTGTACGAGAGTCTGCAGGTGTTTTTTGGTGGAGAGCACTACACCGATCTTAGCTGATTATCACTATGAACTTTGTCTGTACTGTCTCCATTTTCAAAGATGATGAAATGGAGGCTCAGAGAACCTCAGTAACTTGCCAGATGCAAAGCCCTAGCCCTAGGACAAGTTAGGGCAAGGATTTGACCCTAAGTATTTTGATTCCCAGACCTGTGCTTTTGCCTTAGCTCCACTTTAGCGCCCGATGGCCCTACTGAATGACTATTTATGTGCAAATTTATAATGGTTGGCAACTAACATGCTGTTTTTATCAACCACATGCAAAAAGCATGAATTAAGATCAAACAGAATTTTAGGAGGACAAAGTCATAAAAGTAACAAGAGGTTGAGTGACTTCTCTAAGACCAAACAGCTACTAAGAGGTTGCGCCTATATTTGACCAAATATAGATACTTGGGGTCTATATGGCACCAAAGCAGCTCTTTTTAACTAAGCCAAGATGCATGCATATACGGTGCAATGGAGAGGAACTCGCATGAGGTTGGAATCAGAAGCCATGGATTCCAGTCCCTGTTCCAATCACTTATTAGCGATATCACTCTAGGCAAGTCCTTTGCCCTCTGGAAACAATGATCTATGACCTACTCTTTACTGACAAGTGAAGATCCAAATGAATGCAAAAGTATTCTGAAAAATTCCTTAAAAAAAATAAGAGAGTAAGAGCTCAGGCAGGTCAGTCAGTCAGACATAGGTTTAAATTCTGACTGTCGCTTACTGGCTGTGTGACCTTGGACGAGTGCTTTTACCTCCTATGCCTGTTTTCTCATCTGCAAAACGGGGATAAATCAAGTAACTACCTTAAAACATTGTTGTGACAATTAAATGACATCTTCCATTTAAACATGGGATTGCCTGACACAATAGCCGATCAATAAACATCAGCCATTAATATCCTAATAATTGTGCCTCTCGGTCTTCAATTACCTTCAAGTACGGTCTTTCTGAGCTACCCAAAGCGCCCTGGGCTTCAGTTTCAGTCTTGCTAGTCTCTGCCCCGTTCCTCGGACCCTGTCCCTCTCTTCCCAGTCCACATCGTCTTAAAAGCCATCTAGAAACCCCAGTCCCCTTCCCCGGTTTCGGCGCCGTCTCTTACTCGACGACCTTGGCTGGATCCCCGTGGTGCCCATAGACAAGCGCCGGGACCCGGGCAGGCGCGGCGGATGCAGAGTAGTAGGAGGCGGCAGGTCCGTGACAGCCAGAAGCAGGGAGCAGCCTCCGCCACAGCCGGCCGGGGGTTCGCACCCACCACAGCGTGCCGCAGACCCACATGCTCCCTCCTACCAACACAGAGCCTGACGCCCCCGGCTACGTCATCTTCCAGCGACCACAAGCCTGCGCCCCGCCCCGCCGCGTGACCACGCCCCCACGCTCCTTGTGAAGGGCGTTTCCTTCCTCCGCTGCCCACGTGGTGGCGCCTGGCTAAACTGTTTGTGGGTCCCGGAGGGACCAGAGGGAGGTGCGGAGTTTGCGAGGCCGCCAAAGCGGCTCTCTCAACAGGAAGAGGCTGGGGCTGGTCCAAAGCTGTGTCTACAGCCTGCAGTTTGGTGTTTGATTGGGAGGAAATCATTTACTCTCCTGGCCTTAATTTACCCTTCACATAATTTATTGAGTGCTCACGGAGACAGGCTCTTTAAGGTATTATCTCACTTAATCTCCACTACCATGTAACGGCATAGGGAGGCAAAGCTTACTTCCCTACGCTGAGGAGAGCACACGAAAATTGCTATAGAGGCAGGAGTACGGGGCTTGGAGTTAGAAAACTTAGGTTCAAATCCTAGCCCTGCCACTTCCTAGCTTGGCTGCCTTGGGCAAGTGAAACTCTGAATTTGTTTTCTCATCGGTAAATGGGGATAATATGCCTCCTTCTAGATTGTTGTGAGGATTGATCAAATAATAGAGGAATGTTATTGTGGGCGGGAGAATGCATTGAAAAAAACACCATGTTCAGATATAAGGCAGGAATGACAAGAAGGTCCCCCCCACCAAATGCTCACAGTGTAGAAAGGGATTAAGTGAATCACTGGAAATGCTTGTAAAAAGGTGTAGCCCCATGAAGAATCTGGTCTTCTATTTGATGTAGGGAAGACGTGAATATTACTAAAACCCCAGATGAGCTCTGGCTCGTGTAGTCTGAAGAGAGGTGCTCTGGGATAGGGGTGGGAGCAGGGCTCTTGGAGGAGGTGCTGTTGGAGCCAGCCCTGTGATTCAAAGTCTCTGTGTGCATAAAAATAATCTGAGGTCCCATCTTAGACCTACTGAATTAGAATCTTGCCGATGGGGGTTCCAGGAATCTACATCCTTACGAGCTCCCAAGAATATTCTGATCCAGGTGTCCCAGGAAACAGGTTTTAAGATACTGAGCCAGGGCTTTGAAGGATAAGGAATAGTTCCTTTCTCTGGATTTTATTGACTTGAAGCTTGCCATCTCAGAGTCTTTCCCCTGGGGAAGAGAGCACAGCAAAGTGAGCTTTGACTTGGGCTAGACTCGAGCAAACCTGGCTTTGTGTCCTACCTCTGCCATTTTCCAGCTGTTTGATTTCGGACAAGTCACCAGGCCTCTCTGTGTCTTCATCTCCTTATTCTTAAAATGGAAGGAATGCCAGTTATGTGTTTCAAGATTGTCATGAGGGTCAAGTGAGATATTATTCACTTGAAGCATTTAGTACAGTGCTTGGCACAAGGAAGCATCTGATAAATATTATCAGGGGGTTATTGTGATTAAATGAGAAATATCACACGTAAAACCCTCAGACTGGCTCTGAGGTCTGGCTCATAGTATGTGCTCAATAAATGTTTGTACTTGTTTTTATTATTAGATAAAGTTGGTGTCCCATGGTGGGGGAAAGGCTTGGCCCCACATTTATGTGCGAGCACACACATGATGACCAGTCCTGCTTACACTTTTCCCCAGCGACACATAGGCCTACTTGAGTGGGAAGTACAACATAACCCTCTGTTGTAAGACTCCCTAGGTAACATTGAGATGTCGACATTCTCTTCTTCACCAAATTGGCCCCTCTGAATTTTTGGGAAGCCCATTCAGGAAGCCCAAAATGCTCTTCCCTGCCTTGGAAACTCCAGGTTCAGATGTCACTTCTTTGATGTTTCACAACTCCCTAGGTCATCTGCTGCTACCTTTGTATTTTCCCTGGACCTGTGTTATGGCCTTTAGTACATCGTCTCTTATTTATTCCCCCTCCAGGCAAGAGTGGAGCCATGTTTGATTTATCTCCATGACAGCAGCACCCAATATGGGCCTGGCACAGTGTAGGTGTCATAAATATTCCATGGGTTGCAGGTAATTGAATTTCCTCATGGCCTGGAACTGTCTGTGGTGCCATCTCCTTTTCCGTAGATTTGGGCAGGTCACTCCAGGCCAGGACTTTCCTTTTTCCTTCTTCTCTCAAGGATTATCGAAGTTTGTGGTCTTTTTAAAGTAAAGCAGAATGTCCTCTTCTCATCTGTCCACCTGTTGCTTGTGTTCTCTTTCTCCCTCCATTCTAGTCTCTGCCGTCTTCCCATGCATGAAGAGCAAAGGAATGTGGAATCAGTCAGATCTGGATGCAAGTCTGGGGTCCACCCTCCCTTTACTAGCTGTGTGACCTTGGGCAAGTGTCCTATGCTCTCTGAACCTCAGTTTCCACACCTGTAAGATGGGATCAATGGTAAAACTCCTGTTATGAGGCTCCTGCAAGAGCCCTCTGCAAACAGCACCCTTGGTTGCTTCTGTTCACTGGTTTTCTCTCCTTGAGTTTCCTTTTCTGGGTGGGCCTCGCTGACTCCTCTCTGCTCCAGCATCTACCTTAGTTTCTTCTCTAAGATTTCCCGTTGGTTTATTCTTGCTTCTGTCTCCCTCTCCCTGTTTAATTCTCTGTGTCTAATTCTTGCCTGCTCTGTGTCTTTTGGTCCCTTTCCCAACTCAGCGTGGAGCTCATCAGTCCTCACAAGAGAGGAGACTAAGAGCCCAGGAACTCTCAGCTCAGCTCTACCTCCTCCAGCCCCAGGGCAGCTTCAAGGTGTGCCAGTCTCAGCGTGAAGCCAGCTGGGAGTGGAGGCAGGGCACAGGGAGGGCCTACATACTCCTTAAACTCATATGCTCAACTGCCCAGTGGTCAGACCCATCTGCCCATGACTTTTTGTACTTCAGCAGTTTATTCTCTATGCAACTGGTTGGGGCTATAAAAAAAAAAAACCCCGGAGATCAGAACTTATTACTTTTTTTTTTGAGATGGAGTCTCACTCTGTTGCCCAGGCTAGAGCACACTGGCATGATCTTGGCTCACTGCAATCTCTGCCTCTCAGGTTCAAGAGATCTACAGACCCTGCCAACTTGTCCAGCTGTATCTGGTGTCCTTCTGCCCCCGGCTCACTCCATGCCAGCTGCCCTGGTGTCCTTGTAGCTGCTTGTACCCACCAGCCCCTCCTTTGCACAGGCTGTCCCTTCTGACTGCAGTGTTCCTCCCCACTGATTTGCATGAGGTTGGCTTCTTTTCATGCTTCTGGTCTCAGTTCAGATGTCACCATGTCACTTCTTCAGCTAAGCCCTCTTGGACCACCTTATCTAAAGGAGATGCCCCTTCCCCAGCTTATCATCATGCTCCCTCATTTCCTTTAGTGGGCATACCTTAGACGGTAATGATATATTTATGTACATGTTTGCTGTTGAGCTTTCCCGCTAGAATGTAAGCTTCATGAAGGCTAGGAACATTTCCCTTTCATTCATTCATCCATTCAATGTTTATTGAGCATGAATTACATGCTAGAGACTGGGTGCGGTGGCTCATGCCTGTAATCCCAGCACTTTGGGAGGCCGAGGCAGGTGGATCACCTGAGGTGAGGAGTTCGAGACTAGCCTGACCGACATGGTGAAACCCCATCTCTACTAAAAATACAAAGATTGGTCAGGCATGGTGGTGTATGCCTGTAGTCCCAGCTACTCGGGAGGCTGAGGCAGGAGAATTGCTGGAACCCAGGAGGTGGAGGCAGTTAACCAAGATCGTGCCACTACACTCTAACACTCTAGCCTGGAGAAAGAGCACTACTCAATCTCAAAAAAAAAAAAAAAAAAAAAAAAAAAAAAAAAAAAAAAAAAAAAAAAAAAAAAAAAAAAAAAAAAAAAAAAAAAAGAAAAGTAAGCTTCGTGAAGCCTAGGATCATTTCCCTTTCATTCATTTGTCCATTCAATATTTATTGAGCATCCATTACTTACCAGTGGCTGGATGAGGTGGCTCACACCTGTAATTCCAGGACTTTGGGAGGCTGAGGAGGGTGGATCACCTGAGGTCAGGAGTTTGAGACCAGTCTGGCCAACATGGTGAAAATACTAAAAATACAAAAATTAGCCAAGCATGGTGGAGGGTGCCTGTAATCCCAGCTACTTGGGAGGCTGAGGCAGGAGAATTGTTTGAATTTGGGAGGCAGAGTTTGCAGTCAGCCAACACCACGCCATGGCACTCCAGCCTGGGCAACAAGAGTGAGTTGTTGAATAAATGAATAGATCCCAATAAATATTTGTTGAAGGAATAGGTGTCCGGATGGGAGGCAGGTCTCAGGCCCTATTCAATTCAAACCAAACAACCTTGTTTCAGATCTTGGTGCTGTTAAATACTGTTGTATAACAGTATTTATGCAATATAATTGTTGCAGACCTAATATGTGATGATTAAATAAGTCCATGTGGGTAAAACACACAGAAGATACCTGGTCTTACATAGTAATGAGCAACGAGTTTGCAGATCATAGTGAAAGGCTTGTTCTGGGTAGAGACCCAAATATATTTAACCTGTGTAGCCAGAGGATAGAGTAGGACCAGGGAGGGTTAGTGAGGGAGGTAGACTTGCACGTCCTGAAAACAAAAAACTTTCTAAAAACAAGCGTTTCCAAAGCCCCAACAACCGCTCTTGACGGGTGATGACCACCGTGTTATTGGAGATATGTAGAACACGCATTTGAAGGCGCCAAGGTAGAAGGGATTCAGGCATCGGATGGGACAGAGCCCGGGTGTCCCTGGGTCACCGTCCCTGAGAGCGCTGTAAGGGAGCTAGGCCTGGGCCATGAGCGTGCTCGCCTGGCAGTGTTGGTGCCTGGTCCGTGGAGAGGTACGTGGGCGTCCAGGCCCAGCCGCTGGGCCTCCTGGCGGGGAGGATGCGGTGAGCGGGGGAGGGGCGCGCCGGGGCCAGCGGGCGGCCGGACCCGCTGCAGCACCCGCCGCGGCCAGCAGGGAGCGCCGCGAGACCGCCGAACCCGCGACCGGGCCTGACGTCAGCGCCCCGCTTGCTCCGGCTCCCGCTCTGGACTCGGCGCCAGTCCCGCTCCGCGCCGCTCCGCTCCGGCTCCGGCTCCGGCTCGCCTCGGGCTCGGCTCGGGCTCCGGCGGCGGCGCCCAGCGCCGGGCCCCGGGACAGGCGGCGGCGCTCCAACCATGGCCCGTGCCCAGGCGCTGGTGCTGGCGCTCACCTTCCAGCTCTGCGCGCCAGAGACCGAGACTCCGGCAGGTAAGCGCGCGGCGGCCGGACCGAGCCTGCCCCGCCGAGCCTCGGGGCCCGTGGCGTAGCTCGGAAGAAAGTGTGAATGTTGGGTGACCGGGCGTTAGGAGCGTGCTCCCTGTGTGCGTCCGAGCGTAGGATGGGCGGTTGTGTGCCCGGGGTGTTGGGTGACTGCGAATGTGTGTGTCGGTGAGTTCTGTGCGCAAGAAAAGGTGCGGTGTGTCTGCGAGTATGTTGGGGTGAATGTTGTGTGCATCGAGGCATTGGTGTGCGCTGAGTGTCTTGTGGGTCTGCCAGTGTGTAGTGTTTATGCGGCCAAGTGGGTTGAGTGTGCATCTGAGTTTGGTTGTGTTGCGGGAGTTGTATCTGCTAATGTGTTGCATTTTGCGTGCCGTGGCTGGAGCGCTGTATGTGTCTGAGAATGCGTTGTGTGTTTGTGTTATGCATGTGGCCGGGGGAGCTCTCTGGATCCCGCCCGAGTGTGGATGCGGGAACGCGTGTGTGGCGTGTGTGCTTGTGAGATCCGTGGACATGTGTGAAGGCGTGGGAACGGGTCCGGAACGTGTGTGTCCGTGCGCAGTGTACGTGTGGAGAGTGTCTGGGGTTTGGGCGTGTGCCGCCGGGGGCCGCGTGGGTCCGAGTGAATGCCAAGTGTGCCAGGAATGCGTGTGTGGGAGCGAGTCTGGAGCGGATGTGAGTGTGAGCCAATGTGTCCGTGTGTGCTGGCTGCGCGTCCAGGAATGTTGCGAGTGTGGAGCGCGCCTGGGCCGCGGCTGCGAGTGTGCCCGGGGCCCGGGGCCCGGGGCCCGGGGCCGCCCGAGGGGGCGGTGGCAGGACGTGTGTGCGCGCGTGTGCGTGTGCGCGTGTGTGGCGCGCTGGGCCGGAACAAGTTGTCGCGGCGGCGCCCCCTGGGCTGCCCGGGTCCGGCCGCGCCCGAGGCTCGGGGGAGGACGGGGCCCCGCGGCCGCCGCCTCGGGCATGTCGGACTGTTTGTTGTTTCGCAAGTTCCGCGCGGCGCTGGCGGGCGGCTGATCCGAGGCGGCGCCGTGACTGCGGGGCGCCGGGGCTGGCGGGGGCCCCGCGAGGGGCCGGCGGGCGGGGAGGGCCGGGCCGCCGGGCGCTCCTGCGGTGGTCGGGCCGCTGCTGCGCCCCGGGCGGCCGGGCGGGGGCTCTCCGCGGGCGGGGCTGCGACGTCGGGGCGCGGGCAGGGCCTGGCTCGCCGCGGAGGGACAGCGCCCCCTCCCGTGGCGTGCAGGACGCGCGGGAGACGCCGGGGCCTCCCGGGACACTCCCTCGGTGGAGCCCGCAACTTTGTGCGGCCACCCGGCCGGCCTGGACCGCCAGGTGTGTGCGTGAGTGTGAGTGTGGGTGTGAGCGTGTGGCTCCGCGCTTGCCTGCTGTGTGGTCCCGTTCTCCGGGTGTGTTTTGGGGTCTGGTGTCTTTTGGTGTGCGTGCGCGTGTGTGTTCGCGCAGCTGCATGTGTGTATGCAGAGCTTGTGTTTGTGTGTCCTTGCGTGTGTCGGAGTGTGGACGGTGTGTCGGGTGTGTGTGCTCGTGTCCCACATCCCACCCTGAGGCCTGGGATCCCAGACCGCGGCCCCTTCCCGCGGAGTTTCAGGGCCCTGCTCCCGGTGACCTCCCCCGCCCCGGGCCACCGGCGGGGCTGCTCCGCGGGCTCCGGGTATCCAGGAGACGCCCGGGGCGGGGTCTGAGCTGAGACGCATGCCAGAGCGGAGCCGCCGTCTCTCTTGGTCGCCAGGACCAGACAACTGACCTCTCCGGGATCGCGTTCGTGGCCCTGCTGCTGGCTCTGAAGTCTCAGGCCAGAACTCCCCTGGCTCCCGCGTTCGCGCCGGCTGCTGGCCAGCTCTTGAACCTCGCCCTGCAGCTCCGGGGCCAGGGGACACAGCTTCACCTTTGACCTTCCGGTGCCCGAAAGGATGCCTAAGGCGACCTCCCTCACCATCCTCCCCGACTTCTTCCCCAGGTCCTGCAGCAACTTTGCCTCCCCCTGAGATCAAACTCACCCGGTACTCCCCACTCCCACACCTACCACCATCACTTTGATTTCGAGAACACTCACATGCCCCAAGTCCTGCCAGCAGGAGGACTGTCAGGAACTGAAGTTTGGGAGTGAGGCCTAGGGCAGGTTACTCCTATTCTTGATGCCTCAGTTTCCTCTTCTGCCTCCTAGCCATCATAATAATGGTGTATGGCACTTTTGGTGGATACCAAGTACCTTGTAAAGTAAGGCTCTGTCTGTGAGTGCCAGGAAACAAAAAATGGATTTGAGAGTTGTTACAAAGCCCAGAGGCTGTGATTTAAAGCTGGGGGCCGGGCTCAACACCTGTAATCCCAGCACTTTGGGACACCAAGGCGGGCGGATCATGAGGTCAGGAGTTCCAGACTAGCCTGGCCAACGTGGGGAAACCCCTTTTCTACTAAAAATACAAAAACTACCTGGGCGTGGCCCTTTTCTACTAAAAATACAAAAACTATCTGGGCGTGGTGGCGCGTGCCTGTAATCCCAGCTACTCAGGAGGCTGAGGCAGGAGAATTGCTTGAACCCGGGAGACAGAGGTTGCAGTGAGCCGAGATTGTGCCATTGTACTCCAGCCTGGGTGACAGGGAGAGACTCCATCTCAATAAATAAATAAATAAAGCTGGGGGAGCCAGGTTCAAGTTCCGCCTCTGCCACTTGCTGTCCATGTGACCTTGGGCAAATCACTTCTAAAGTTCCTGGCCCCCTTTGTTACTCTTAGAGAGGAACTCAGAAGCCGGAGTAGAATAGTTGTGTTAGCCCATTGTCCCCAGTCTGGATAGAGTCAGCCCAACTCCCTGAATGCCTCCTGAGCTTCTGGGTGGTATGGTGTGTGACGTCTTCTCAGCCTTGCAAACCTGGTAGTTATTTATTCTGCTGTGTTCTTGCTCATTTTGTCCTTTTGGTCACTGGAGTTGTGGATGGCAGGAATGAGGGAGCGGCTGCCCAGTGGTTTCAGGTTGGGCAATAAAGGCTTGTCTGGGCATCGCTCCCTTTTCCCTGGGGCTGGGGGAGGGGAGTCAGCAGGAAGTAGTGACAGTGGCCCGGGTGGGGATGCTGAGCTCCTAGACAGCCTGCTGCCCAGCTCTGGTGTCAGAAAAAACCCAGGGCATTGGCCAGGTGCAGTGGCTCATGCCTGTAATCCCAGCACTTTGGGAGGCTGAAGCAGGTGGATTACGAGGTCAGGAGTTAGAGACCAGCCTGGCCAATATGGTGAAACCCTGTCTCTACTAAAAATACAAAAATTAGGCAGGTATGGTGGTGGGCGTGTGTAATCCCAGCTACTCGGGAGGCTGAGGCAGGAGAATCGCTTGAAGCCTGGAGGCAGAGGTTGCAGTGAGCCATGATTGTGCCACTGCACTCTAGCCTGAGCAACAGAGTGAGATTCTGTCTCTAAAAAACAAAACAAAACAAAAAACCCCAAAAAACCCAGGGCAAGCATTGTGCTTGATGGAGACAGGCCACCATCCTTCCATGATTTTCATCAGCTAAGCTGGGCATGTGGGGTGGCCTTTCCATGCAGGCCTGGGCTGGCCCTTCCCCATCCCTGGTAGCTGACAGGGCCCACCCAGTCCCTAGTCTCAGCCTTTTGTGATGGCCCCTGTCCAGAGTTGCAGGGGGTGCATTGTGTCCCCTTCCTCCCTCTCCCCCCTTTTGTCTTCCTAGTCACCCTCCTGCATCCTGAAACATCCTGCCTGCTCTCTCAGAGGCTCTTGCCTCTGTCTCCTTCTGTCCATTCTCAGCTATCTTTCACCTGCAGGCAGGTCTTCCCTCCTTCCCTCAAGGTGCCAGGGATCTTCCTAAAGCACATGTTTTAACTCAAAGTGTTTAAAAGCCTTTGAAGGCTCCTTATTGCCTTCAGGGTAAGTCTTTATCCCGTGGCCCTGTTGCTTGCTCTTGCTCCTGCCTGCCTGTCCAGCCGCATCTTGTTTTGTGTCACTTTCTCTTGCAGCCTATGATCTGGCCAGCCTGACCTTCTTACCAAAGCCCTAAATGCCCATGGCCTGCCATCTCCTGTTTGGGCCTTTGGGCAAGCTATGCTTTCTCTGCAGAACTTTCTAACTCCAGCTCTTTGCTGGTGAGCTCCTGCAACCTGATTGGCTCGCAGCTCTAAGCATCACCCACTCCCTAAAGCCTTCCTTGGTAATTCCCTGTCCTAGCCTAGGAAGTAGGGAGTGGGGGCCGATTGGATTTTTACACAGCATTATAATTATTGTAATTACAGTTTATTAGTGCTGTCTCCCTTACCAGACTGAAAGCCGAGGACAGAGACTGAGTTTTTAGTTCACCTCTGAATCCTTAGTGCCAGATACAAGGCCTGGCCCACAGGGTCTGAATAAATATATGTGGCATGAAAGAATGAAGTTTAGGGGATCAAGTTCAGAGGTGGAGATGCCAGATGGGGGCGCACTGATTCCACTGAAGGTAGAGATTGAAGAACTAGGCTTTCCCTCCAGGAATCTGGAAAATTCTGCTGGGGGATGGTGTTATGTTGTGAAAAGCCCATGTTGAGGGTGTCATCTGGGAGCTTTGAGCTGGGGAGGTTAAGCCCCTGGCAAGGGAAGAAGGGAGCGGGCCTCCTGCCAGCCCCTCCTCCAGCCTCTGGCCCCACCCCCGGCAGCTGGCAGGGCCTATCCAGCCCCCAGTTTCAGCCTTTTGTGATGGGGCCTGGCAGTTGGTGAGGCATTGAGTCTCAACGATCTGTGTGAGTGGCTGGGGGGGGAGGGGGGAGGGAACCAGGAGGGCCCTGTATTAGGAAGGGGAGGGAAGCTTCTTGGCAGACCCTCCCTCAGTCCTCAGTCCTAGATCTTGGGGTGGGCAAGTGGGGTCACAGCCTCTGTTCTGACTGCTTATGCGCTGGAGGGAAAGGAGGAGAACTGTGGCCTGTGATGGCCTTTGCAGATGGCGTTGGGGGAGGCTGGCTGAGGTATGTGCAGATGTGACCCCAGCATCTGGGCAGAGTGGGGGG